TTTTAATAAATTAGAATTTTAATAAATAATAATTTTAATAATTTATATTTATAATAAATTAGAAATGTAATAAATAATAAACATAATAAGTTATATTTATATGTGTGTGTGTTTAAAAATATTAATATAAAATACAATTTAAATATCTTTATAATTACTAAATATAATAAATTAGTGTAATAAATATATTAATTATATTTACAATTAAAATTACATTTATGAGACTTAAAATTCATTATAACAATAAAGATCAATGGTAGCGGGAACTAAATGCATGACCAATATTTGTACATGTCTTCCTAATGTGACTCGGTGTGTGACAATAGGAACAATTTTTAACATGATTATGTTATTCTCTAATGTTCATCTCTGTTCTAATTCTGCTGGACTTGGGTTGACCCTTGAAAGTTCTCTTGAGTTTCGGATTTGGCCACAAAGTTGAACCAATGTAAGTAGGCCAATAATATTCATGTAAGAGCTCTCTAAATCGTCTTTCGTATACCTTTGCAACTTGTTATAAGGTATATATGAGAGATATGTAAGTTTCATAATTCATAGTCGTGGTGTGCATGTATGCATGAAGCGAGTACATGCGAGCAAGGGATATGAACTTTCTGGAACTTGCCACAATCACACAACATCTCATCTAGCCTTACTGTAAATCTCCCAGCGAATCGAACTTCTCCTGGATGTTGTGTTTCTTCCATTAGAAATCTAGTGCTTGATCTGTCAAAGGTGATAACTCTATGAGTGTTTTGCCTTTGATTGTGCATCTTGAATAGTTTTATGAGCAATTTCCAAGTAGACATGTTCAACATTAATCATTGCATCCACTTCCTTGTCTCTTTGAACGAAGAACTTGTTGCAACGAGTGTATGTCGCCATTACCATGGAACAAATAGGAAGATTTCTTGTTTTCTTTAATACCGAATTAATAGACTCTGCTAGGTTAGTTGTCATGTGTCTCCAATGTCGTCCATTATCCCATGCCAATGTCCATTTTTCCCTAGGAATGTTGTCTAACCAATGTGCTGCTTCAAAATTATTATCTCTTACTATGTTATAATAGTAAAATAATCTAGGTTAGTCATCCCATACGTTAGAGAAAAAAATCATAATTAAATAATGAAAACTAAGTAACAAAGTTTAAAAATAAGTAATGATAAAATTACCCATGTTGACGACATCCTTCTTCAGTGCTACATTTTTTAATCGTCACATGAAGTTCTGTGTAATGTGTCTAATGCAATAGACATGAACATAATTGTTTTCTATCCAACCACTTCCATTTCTGGAGTATGCACTTCGAATAGCCTCGTGACTATCAAAAATGAGGCAGAACCCGTCTTGCGGTGTTACATATTGCCTTAAGTTCTTCAGAAAAAAAATTCATGCATCGCTAGTTTCACCTTCAACAACGACAAACACAATAGGAATTATGTTGTTGTGTTTGTCTTGCGCAATTACGACCAATAACGTACCTTTGTATTTGCTGTATAAAAATGTTCCATCCACTTGAACAATTGGTTTGCAGAAGGCAAAACCATCAATACATATTTTAAAGGTCCAAAATAACCTTTTAAATATAACACTACCCTCGTCCAATAAACCACCTTGACAAAACCATCAATGCATGGTTTATACACACACACACATATATATATATATATATATATTTATAATTCATTTTTACACTTTTTATAATATTTATTTTAAATATATATAATATTAAATTTTTTATCCCATTTATATTTATATTTATATTAACATTATAACTTATAAGATTTTTAAGTTATTTAATTTAAAAAATAACTTATTATTTTGTGGTTTTTCCTTTTATAGTACTTCGCCATGACATGAGCATGAAAGGAGCAATTTTTTTATATAACTTTTATAAGGGCTAAAATCATTTATTTTGACTTTTTGGCCCCATAGTGTAGGGTGGATCTTGAAAGATCTCCCTCCAAGCCGTACATACAACTTTCATCGAATACGGCTTTCACAGAATTCTAGATGTATCTATGATATTGAGTATGGAATTCTGTTTACTCCCTTGAAATTTGGTATTCGTTTCCCCCCCCTTTCCCGCTAGGATTGGAAATCCTGTATTTTACATATCTATACGATTGAGTCCTTGGGTTTCCAAAATAGTGTAAAGTGCTTCGAATTATTGCTATTTGACTCGGACCTATTATAAAACAGTTGAGACATTTCGAATTATTTATATATATTTTAATTATTTAAAAATTATTAATTCTTTTTTAAATAAGTTACAATTTGATTATAAAAAAAAAGTAAAATGCTACTCAAAATTTGATTATCCAAAAACCAAATTCCGGCAGCCAAAAGGGATGGAGAAGCAACGGAGAAGGTTAGAATTCGGTTCCCGGAAAACCGAATTCTGAATCGAAACAAAAAAGGGTTCTACTTTGGTTAATATTTTCGATGTGGGTCCATTTCAGTAATTATTTTTAAAAAAAATAATATTCTGGAAAAAAATTCCACGATGTGTTGAGATTAATAATAAGAAGCAATTACATCTAGAATATAACTCGTATAAGAGATGTTGTAGGTGATATTCTTTAATTAAAATTGTAGTTTCACTTTAGTAGTATATACATAATAAATAATTTCATCAAATATTATCCAAGTAAAATTTATGATAAAAGAATAACACTAATATTATTTGTAATACTGTATTTTAAGTTTTTATCGATTTTAGAATCTCAACATAAATTTTTAATAAATTTCATATCATCGTGTTTGATGTAGTTAACACAAATAAATATAGTCAATTTTGTACTTGGATAATTATAAGAATATTTAAAAGCAGATACCTTATTTTCTTACAACTCACTTATATTTTATTTTTTTCTTATCTTTATGATTCTTTCAATATTTTTCATTATATTAAAATAATTATAAAAAGTGGTTTTTTTTAAAAAAAAGTAGATATAGGTTTTTAAAATGAATACAGAACTAATTTTTTATCTTTAAAATGCAGTTTAGAAAAAGAAGAAGAAGAAGAAAGTAATATAAAAACTGTTTATTTTTTTATATTAAAAATACGTGTATTTTAAGAAAAAAGGATAAACCAACATGTCTTTCATAACTATAAAGAAAGATTGACATAATAAAAGAAAACAAATGTCTATATTTATTGTAATAGGCATAACTAGTATGGTCTTCCAATTACAACATTGGTTTTGTTTAAAATAGGCAACATCCCATTTTGAACTATGCTCTATTAAAGAAACTTAAAAGAAATAAATGAAAAAAAAGGGTAAATTAGTTAGTTACACCCGTCAACTTTGGGTCATAGGCTTTCAAAAGAGTGTCAGGCTTGTGTCATCTTCAACTCTTGGAAAATGCCCTTCTAAAAAATAAATAAAAAATTCTACTTAGCCCTCTAAATTTGCCAACTTTTTTTTAGATCGTAGTTATTTCTTTTCCACTTATATATATATATATATATATATATATATATAAATACACCCTAACAAGCACGAGCAAAAAGAGATAAAACAACACATACCCTCTAGCTCGAAACGAGGCCGAGGCGATTTGGGAAGCAGCACCAGAAACCGAGACGGGATGCACCTCGGCAATCCCTTAAGAACGTTTAAGGCCGACAACTCGGCATCGGTCATCATATCCTCGGGGAAGTCATCGTACTTCCGAGGTCGAAACCCAAAATATCCCTATAACTTTATTAAAATTACGAAAATGTCATTAACAAAAATAATAATAATAAAGATTTGGGTGTTACACATTGTGTTTTACTATTTTTTAACTGATGACTATTTAATCCTTTTGTTGGTTAGGAATTTATGTTTTTTCTATTTTCTATTTTTGCATCATATTATATATATATATATATATATAATTCCTTTTTCTCTTCCATAGACCGTCATGGCATCCACCATGGAAATATGGCACTTAAAGGTCCTTGCCGCCATTCGCCGTATAATCTTACTGATAACCTTGCTTACAACATTTTTCACATATTAAGGAATGAGTAAGTATATGCATTGACACAAAGACAAACATGCATAGAAATAGAGCGTAGACATAGACATTCAAAGACAAAGACACAAACACACACAACACAAACAAGCATAGAAATAGAGGATATACATACACAACGATAGAGCACAAACACACACATATATTAACTTAAAAAAAAAATCAATGACAAAAATGTGTAAAAGAAATAAAGAATGGGTTACTATTGGTTTGGATAACTAATAATGGGTTATTATTGGTTTAGACAACTAATAATAGGTTACTATCGATGTGACATTCAAAGTTTAGGTTATTACCAATACCAAAATTTGTATAGGCAGTTAGAAAAATGGATGTCCTTCTAATTAACAAGGATTTTATAGCATGAACCATTGTGACATTTTCTTGGTTCCAAGCATCTTTATTTAAGTTCATGCTCTTTTTTGACAAGTATTTGAAAATCAATAACAAGACAAAGTCACATAAAAAAATTAATTTTATCATAAGATTCTGATAACTACGGATACAAACACATAAAATTAGTAAAAAGGTCGGATAAAACATTTGAGGAATGAATGAAGATACATTGAATTGTTTAAACTATAAGCTTGATCAATGTAATGTAGTAAGTTATTTCAGAAGGCCCAAAAGCCCAATATAGGTGATTTAGTAGCCCAGAACGGTCCGTTCCCAATTTGGAACAGGCCGTTCCAAACTACTAAATTGACCTATAAATCGTAGTTGAGAACAGGTTGTTCTGGATGAGTCATAGAATAGACTGTTCTAGTTTCAGAATGGGCCATTCTGCATGTGATTTTTACACATGATGAAGGGGTGCAGAACTGGCCTTTCCGGATTCGAAACGGCCCATTCTGGCCACTCCTAAACTTCTATAAATAGGGGTTGTGTGGTTGAGGAGAAAGTGAAGTTTTTAGAGAGAAGTTTTAGAGAGAAGGATTCTGGGTTTGTGAATTCCTTTCTCTCCCAAATTTCTCTGTATGATTATTTTTCTCCTCTAGATCACTAATGTCTTCTACCTTTTCTTGAAATTCAGACTAGAAAGCTTACTTTGGGTGGATTGAATTTTCGGGCTGAGCTTTGGAAGAAGAGTGAATGAAGTAACAAGTGAGCAAATAAAGAAAAAAATATTATAACCTATAATAATATTAATAAAAATGTACGAAAATTTAAGTTTAGTTCTTATTTCTTTTTCATAAGAATTGAACTTTCAGGCACCAAACTCAGACAATATTTATCCCTCAACTGCACTTTCTTCTTTTTTTATTCAACTCTCACCCTCTCAATTTCATCTAATGTTTTTATTTAAAAAAAATATCGAGAAGCATTCCATATATTATAATAATAATAATAATAAATAAATAAAGGCCAGAAAAAAAAGTCCAACATATTCCCATAACAAAGTAACATATGTGATATGTCCATACAAGCACAACTAACAATATGGACTTAGAATACATTATCACATGGAGGCGTTTGAATTTATAGTATTCCTTGCAACCTCTTCTAATCGTAATAAGTTAAAAACACACTAGGTAGAAGAAAGAGATGAAAAAGCAAGAGAAAATAAAGCTACATCAACTAGGCACCGAAACTGTTATCAAAAGAAGTCCTTAATTTTTTTATCAAGCACCAGAGAACTAAGCACATAATAAGCCTTCTCTGTGGGATGATAACTGTCCCAAAATATGTAGGTAGAAGAGTTAGAGCATGTGTTTATGCTGTAACGGTTGCACAAAATGCCCACTTCTATATTCCCTGTGCCACAGCATCCCTTCTCTGTCACTTCGAAACCTTCATCACCAAATTATAAAAGATAATCAGTCCAAGAAATGAAAAAGGGTTATGATGACAAGAAATTCAACAGTGTAATATACTAAAATCACTAAACACAACTTAGTGAATTACATAAAACTACATGATTGATGATAGTAACCCTGCCATGCACACGAGGATTTTGTTTTATTGTTTTTGGGTTGAGAGATTTCTCATTCTAATTGGTAGGTTCAGTGGAATGTGCATGAATTAGAGATTGTGATGTGGGTAAATACACAATAATTATATGAAGGTGAAAATGAATTTGATGCAGCTAGGTACTGATTTCTTTTATGACAAATAATCTCTATGAATGAAATGTAATGTTACATTCCGAGTCTAGTGTGGCACAAAAATAGTTGACATGAAATCTGTGTAAGAATGTGATAAGTCTATGAATGTGATTTATTATTGATTACCGTATTTACTAGGATTCTGAATCATGTTTAGCAATCCGTTGTAAGAATCAAGATAGACAAGCCTAGCATCTGAAAACTTTTTTCCAAGAGCATTCATTTGAGAGAGCAGTTTGGAGTTGAAGAGCATTGCTGCTTGGTTAGAAGAATCAAAGCATGCTCTATCCGAACCTCCACCAATTGTTCTTTGTGATGGCACACACCCTATAGCTGGTAAACCAAATACTCCAATCCTTCTAGCTCCTAGTCCATAAAGCTCCTGCATCCCATGAATTATTATTATTTTTTCTTACTAAAAATATAGGAGGAACATAAATAAAACAGTGTATGAAAAGAAAATTTCAAAGTCCAAAGTTTGGTATATAGTTTACCAAGATGATGAAAACCAGAGAAAATTCAAACAGTAAATCTAAGTTTGGTAGTCAGAGTTCACGGTACATTAAAGAAATAAATTTGATATTCCAAATATATTCATCCTCTTTAAAGAAATAAATGCAATAAACAGAAAATGTTTGTCATGAACAGTAATGCTGGTGTGAGATGTCATTTTTCTACCTCTATCTTGTCTCTCTACCTAAATGTGATAGCTGCATTAAGGATGGCTGTGACATGGCCTATGACTGAAATTTGAAAGATTAACATTTATCCCTCAATTTTGCATTAATAAATTAGTTAGCTTCAAAATTTCATCACAAGGAAATTCAAGTGCATATGCATGACTATTCTAAGCAGAGAAGGATGCTAGTTTCTGTTTATTTTCCATACAACAGGTTTTCCAAAACATACCTCAAAGAAGTTTAAAGCTTCTGAAGTCATTAAGTCTGTGTATGAAGGAATATCATACTGTGCACGCCTAAATGGTGTTTGAGAATAAGTATTGGCAATGTCATCACTTCCTGCGCACACTATGTATATGCTCTTAGATACTATTGTCGCAGTTCTGTTTCTTCCAACTGCTTCATTTATCTTCCTTATGTACTCCTTGAACATGTTTAATTGATCTGACAGTGATATCACAGACTTATGACAAGGAGAAAATGAACTAGAGTTAGCTTTAAGATGTGCTAAAGTAAATTATTTACTGACAGATAACATGCACAAGATTGTGTATATGGTTGTGTACCACTAGTTCAGCTGTTAGAGGATCAAATCCAGCACCACCCGAGGCAAAGCTTACCCCAGTGAGGAGTTCTTGAAGTGACAAATTTGGATCAAGATAAGGTGGCAAAAGCTTCTTGACTCCAAATTTTGCAGCTGAAAATGAAACAACAAAGTTGGTAATTAAGAAAATGAACAAACAAGTTCATTCTGTTATCTATTACTCAGAACATAACTATACAAGATACATGTATGTTTTAAGAACGATAACTTCTACCAACGATGTCTGATGGGACTAAGCCATTACTGAACCTCCCAGTTGGATGATTTCCGTCAGCAAAATCTCTACCATATGGTGGGAAATTGCATTTGACAATGGTGGTGAAATAGTTGTTGTTTCCAGGATCTACTATTGAGTCTCCAAATACAATAACTGCTGGCACAGTTTCATTGTTTGGTAGGCTCACAGAAGAAACATGTTGGAAGATAGTTATGATAGAACACCACCAAAGAATGAATAGAAGCCATTCAGAAATAAGTTTTTGATAGAAAAAATTCATGTTTCTATGAGTATTGTTTCCCACTCTTATTTTTGAAAGAATGCAATGGCATCTTCAGTTTCCTGCGAGCAACTTATAGGAAAACTAACGGTCTCTTCCATATCATGCATTCGTCATAGCCAGAGATTTTACTATGAAATTTTACATGATACTTCTGTTGTTATAGCTAAGTCTTGTTAAGAAAAAAGTGTCATGCATGTTGCATGATACTTTTGTTACTTTGAATAGTGATTAATTGATTATATGCTCTTTTATTTCTTATAACTCTTCCATTCTCTTTTTCATTTCATCTCATCTCATGTCTTACTTCTTTTCTTATCACATTTTTTATTTATTTATTACATTTCACATTTTCTTTATTTCCTCTTTCACTCCATAAGATTGATACAACTCTTAAAAAATATACAACCAATGACGGAGCTTGAATAAAAAATTTGGGAGTGTGAAATTAATCTTTTTATATATAAATTAAATTTTTTTATTAATTAAAAAAAATAATAGAATTTCTCATTTTCTCTACTCAAAATAAACATGCATGATAATGAAATCCTTAAAAAGTATTATTAATCACTAGTCATTTCATAAAATAATTATACAAATATAATATTATATATATATATATATATAAATATTTTTTGGAACTGTCCAGTTCATCCTTTGGAACCATATCACATCCCGGATATGATGAAATAAGATGAATTGAGACGGTATTTTGTAAGTACATAATTATCTTGAATAAATTCACTATTTCTTTATTTTCCGATCGCCTGGAAAGAACAAGATGTTTCTTTTGTTCTTTCTTCAGCAATTTCTGATCTCTAGTAGACCTCTCAGTAGGATTCGAACCCAGATGAAGTTCTGACCATCTGTCAGAGAAAAAAGAACGAGTGGCTCT